TACTCTTAGAATTTCCTTCCGGTCATTTTCTCCAGTTTTAAGGTTTCTAACTCCAGTTGCCGCCGAACTTGTTCGGGACATATCTTTCTGCTCGGGACTCAGTTTTCGATGCCGTTTCTTCCATTATTCATTTTATTTCATTTTGGTTCTTTTTTGTTCACAATATTTTACCGTTTGAGCACATCTACGCAAATTTCACTTTTTCAGACCCGGCGGGACCCGTTCAGAACACTTTTTAGGTTTTTTCTACAAATAGAGGGTTATGAAATAAAGAGTCAGATTTTTCTTCTTCTTCCTCCCTCCTTGGCCGGTATATTTTCTGGCCACTTCCCTCTTGTATTTTGCCGTAGTGCCTTAGCATTTATTGTAGGCCTTAGTGAGATCTTCATTTCCCCCTTATTAGAATCCGTTTTCGACCATTTTTGAGTTCGGGTTTGGATTTTCATGGTGTCTCATAGGTTAAAGTTGCTTCCCTCGTTGTCCCCGACATAACCTAGGAGTATCGTCGGATTCAGAGCACTTTTCTTTCGGTGGGGATTTGAGATTTCATCTCAAATGGAGGTAGGGGATGTTATAGGTTTATATTTTATTGTCTTGCATGTTATTGATGTTTATACAACTTGTATGCATGCCTTTATATTTATTCTAGAATTTAATTTTAATTATTTTCTTTGTATATGATTTAATTTACATGGTTGTATATAGTTTAGAATTAAATTGTGGCATGCTATTAAATTAAGCCTTGATATGTTTACTAACATATATTAAATTGGGAGTATTTGAATATGTATTAAAAGTTTTATTTAATCTTTCACTTGTATGAAGATTTAATTCACATGGTTGTAATTAGCATGAAATCAACTTATAATGTGATATTAAATTAGGCCTTAGTATGTTCTTTAACATATGTAAATTTGGGAACATTTGGAATTGTTTTAAAATCTAGAGAAAATTAATTAATTAGTTTACTTAATTTTATTTTAAGTGTTTAGTCACTTAATTGGATTTTTAACTTGATATTATTGATGACCATGCTATATTCCTTAACATATATTAAATTGAGACTATTTGACATTGTTTTGAAATCTAGAGATTTTAATTTAATTAAAATCTATTTAATGGTTCCCTTAATATAATCAAGTATTTGAGTAGATATAGCTTGTGTAGAGAAGTTATTTAATTTAGTAGATTACTAAATTCTTGTGATTTCATAGTATTCTGAATATAGAATGCTTATTGTGCATTATCGGAAGTTAAATTGCTAACTTGTTACTATGTAGTAGTAATATGAGATTTTTGTGAATTATCGATATTATTAGTCCTATGAACTTATTGCTGCAATGTGGTAGAATTAGTGTTTAAAGTTCACCATGGAAGCATGATTTAAATTGTTATGTAGATGATATTGTATTGTACATTACATCATAGTAAATACTTGACATTATATGTGCTATTTTAGAATTGAAACTCTAAGGCATGGATTATGTGGTTTCAATCTACTTGTGCATGGAAGGTGATTTCGTGCATTATTTAATTGCGTATAAATTGTGAACTTATTTATTGATTTTGGAGTCACCTGGGACATTGTTACAAAGACATGGCTAGAGTTTGGCTCTAGTGTGGGAGGTATGAGGTCTCCCCAAATTATAGTGCACACTAGGGTGGTATTTCCAGCGAATTAGTGCCCGGAATAACCGTTTAGGTCTTGATTTTACTCCGAGATTTGATGTCCAAGTCTTCTACTATTTGATTTCGCATTCATTTCCATGTTGACAACCAATGTTTAATTGTAACTTGTGGTTTTGGTTATTGGCGATTTATTATTGTTTTGTATATTTATGCATTATGATTTTTAATGAATCATTGCAATTTTAAATGTTGTTAAGTACATTAATGCATTGTGATTTTAATGAATCATTGCAATTTTGATGTTGTTAAGTACATTTATGCTAAAATGTTCAAAAGTAGCTTATGAATGATCCTATAAATTTATATGGAACATAGACGTTAGGTAGCATGACCCACTTTAGTTGTTTTCGTATTTTAGATTTCAAGTTGATGGCTTTGAGAATCTATATCTTGTTGCTTTGTATAATATGCTTCTATATTGTTTGAATTGCATGAATGATGTGATTTATGTTAGAAATGATCTAAGGTAGTTTAGGATTCTCCCTGAGTCTCACCTTTGACATAGACGTTAAGTGATATGACCTTTTGAATTGTTTCACATTAATGTGATAACCTTGTAAGATGTTAGGTCTATGCATGTACATTCCCTACGAGTAACTTGTTTACTCACCCCAAAGTTATTGGGTTATTTTTCAGGTACAGATAACTTAGTTTGGGATGCACAATATCCCTAGGTCGTTTGTTGATTTGAAGTACTTCTAATGTAATTTTGTTCACATGCAAGTGTTAGCATGTTTAGGTTTTGCTTATAAAGTTATAATATTTAGTTAGGTTAAATATGCCGTTTTTGCCTTATGATATGTAAAGTATACTTAGATACACTATTTGGGACCTATGTGGTATGTATGATTTGTGGCCAAGGGCCAATTACCTTATAATTTACGTTTTTGTCATTTGTTCTTTGCCTTTACTTTTGAAAGAGTATTTTAACCAACATTGGAGGTTTGACGCATGGTTTTGTAAATTCAATATGTATTGACGCTTTGAGCCATTGTATCACATTTCTATATGTATTTTACACTTGTGAGTATGCTCACAAACTTGTATAAATCTAAAGTGTTGTTTTTGGACCAATTCATGATGGGAATTGAGGCTTGGGTTAAGCCTTAACATTTTTTGTGTATAATAGCTCTTTTAGCACCATCTCGGGTCATTTCGGCCGACCGAAATGTCATTTCGGTCGACCGATAGCTTTTGGGATTTATTTGAACAGTTTAAGTGCAAATTCCAGTAGCTTAGGTATTGTTTTAGCTACAATCGGTCAACCGATACATCATTTCGGCCGACCGAGGTGTTTTTCCTTCATTTTCCAGATTTTTGGTCATTCTAGGGTCATTTTGGCTGACCGAAATGCCATTTCGGCCGACCGAAATGCCTAACTCTTTTTCTCATTCAGGCTTTGTATTAGCTTTGCTTCTCTAACTTCAAATGGTCATAAATCCTTCATTCCTAGTCCAAATTGGGCAATTCTTGAGTCTAAACTCAAGGATTTTGAGTCAGCTTTCCAATGGTACCAATACCATCCTCAGATTCAAATCATAGTGAGAGTTATTCATGTTTTAGTGAGATAATGTCAGATTTTGTTTAAAACGGGAATGGGAGTCTTGTGGGATTCTTGACCAAAGTTCTTAGAACTTCTTGGAATGTTGTAAAATAATTAGTTTAGGTTGTATAGGCCTCATTTGACATGTTTAGAGTCAAATTTCTCTTCTTATTTGTAAATTGACTATTTTGCCATTGATTAACGGATTTTGCCCGTTTTGACTTTCGTTTACTCTTTCGTTCTCTTTGAGTTTCGTGACTTCATGGAATGTCACATTGGTGTCATAGGGATGATTTATATCTCTAGAGACTTTGGTTCTGTCTTTCGCTTTCGCATTTCGGACCCATTACCGGGTCAACTTTCGGGTCATCACTGACGCACGGGTTTCAAAACTTGGGCCGTCACAACATGCCTTTTTAATTTTTACCCAATACAAATTTATTGTAAGTATATAATCAGTTAAGCACATAAAAATTACCAACTGATAAGGAACATAATAGAAAAATAAAATATAGAGGGACGAAGTTGTGTTTTACTTTTATATTAGAAGAGTAGTGATATTCACATCGAAAACTGGTAGTGAATTGTCTAACAGAGTTACTTTTGATTAGCTATTTATACAAAATACAAGTAAGTAGAGGGACTCATTCATTTATTTAGAATATATGATCAATTTAAAACTAGGTGTAAATATTTCACTGCAAGTCTACAAGAAGTCGTGTAAAAATCATTTCCATACCAGAAACGTTTTTTGGGAAAATCAATCTCAGAAGATTGAAATTTTAAAATTTTCATTTTTATTCTAACCAAAATCTTAAAAATTTTTAATTTTTCCTTTTACTTTATTTTTGAATCATTTCTTTCTAACCAAATAACGACCCAGATCCAAACCAGTGTTAGAAGAGGTCTGGAGGGAGAGGAACGACCCATACATCAAATATGCAGCTTATAGGCAACGATTAAAATTTGTTTAGGTAAACATTGTTCAATCTACATGTGAACAAAGCAAATGCATGGGTGCATACAAACAGAAAAATATTTTCTATTTTGGGTAGCAGTTATAGAATACTTGGCTTTTGAAAACATATCATTTTGCTTGATTGTAGAAAATAATCTATACAAATAGTTTTCGTTTTTATGTCTGTTGTCTGTGTGAGTTCGACTATTTGGGTATGTCTCAAAGAGACAAAAGAAGGGTCCGTGATTTACCAAAAAAAAAAAAAAAAAAAAAATAATAATAAAATAATAAGAGTATCATGAATTGTTCAACATGCATTTTAGACTTATATTTTATTTTTTTAAAGAGTTTTTTATTTCCTCGTTATAATATTTAGACCGCAAATTAAGCACAACAAACATTAAAACATTTTTATTATTATTATTATTTTCATAATTAAACATTTAAACACTTACATTTGCAAGATAGCAAACACATCATGATACAAATTATATGTAGGGGAAAGTCTGAAAAACACCCCTGTGGTTTTCAATTTGTGCGAATTACACCCTTTTTGTTAGATTTGTTTATATAGTAGATATAAAAATGTGCAATTAAGCACCTCCGGTGAGAATATGACCATTTTAAACCTTTTATTCCCAAAATTGCCCTTTTATATTTCTTTATAACCCCTCACCATATATATATATATATATATATATTTGTATATGGTATTTTTTATTTTTGTAGTTTGCAGTTACAACACCCAATTGAGGACGAGTCCTTGTGAACTTCACCATTAGAGCTTGACATGGTGAGAACATCCCATTCTTACTCGAGCATAGCTAAAAACCACAACCCAATTAATATTACTAACATCATAAAGAGAAGAAGAAATACCCATTTTTATGTTATGTTACGTAACTGGAAAGAGGTTTGGAGGAGAGAGAGTGGTTTACTTGAGAAAGGGTGACATGAGAGAGAGTAGAGGCAGCCATGGAGCATAGAGGGTAAGTTTAGAGTTGAGAATGAGAATAGATTTGGAGGCGATTGGGGAGGCTAAAATGATTTGCCCTAAAAAAAATTATGATGAGCGCTGAAAAGTGCGTATGTAAACCCCTTAAGCTTAAGTGGTCTAGGACCTTTATTTATTTTATTTTCCCGTTTTAGACTAATTTCGTGTTATTTCCTTTTTCTGGTCAATAAAGTTAAAACGGGCTAAAAATGGCTTCTTAAAACCTTTGTGGAGTTAAACCAAGTCTTGGTGAGAATTTGGAGCAAAAGGAGGCTGATCTGGAACAAAAGGAGGCTGATGCTGAAAATATGCCAAGTTTAATTGATCGAAAAAAAGTCTGATCGATCGAACCAACTCTGATCGATCGAAGAAAAGTTGGATCGATTGAACTCTGATCGATCGAAGAAAAGTCTGATCGATCGAACTGTTCGCAGAAGTTATAAAAAAGCAGGTCTAAAGCTCATTCGAACCAACTCGGGTTGTGCTTGAAAGAGGAGATCTTAGGGTCGAGTTTTCACATTTTTGAGCTCTCAAAGCCTTGTATATATGACAGATTGAACCATTTTTGTAGGGAGATCCATATTTTTACATTGCAATTTTTATATTTTCATTAGTTTCTCTCTCTAGAAAGTTAGAGATTATGGTTCGAAAAAAAGAGGGAAGTAGAGGCACATCTCAAGAACACATCTCTAGATTCACATACTCTCTCTCTTTAGAGCTTTAAAGAAGAAGAAGAAGAAGATGGAGCCATGTTTGGAGCTTGCCCTTGAGGGTTTCATGACTACATCCACCTCCTCCATGATTGGCTAGATCTACACTTAGGGCTTGGATGAGCCCTAAGTCTTGTGTAATTTAAACCCTTGTATTTCTATTTTTGGGGATTTATATATATATATTGTTGTGATTAATGGTTAGCCTTGTGATTGTTGATTTAATTCTTCCTTATGATTCTCTATTTTAATTACATGTTGTTTTATGTGTGATTATTTGGGAATTAATCTCTACACTAGATTCTCTATATTGGTTGCATGTCTATGTGTGATTAATTAAGGATTGAGTGATGGCTAAGCATGATTTTCATTGAATGAGTTTGTCAATTAATTTGATGGATTATTCTTATGCTTGATGGGTTATTCTACAATTTAATTCATGCTTGTAGGTAGGTAGACAGTCTATACTTGATTTGATATTCCATGGCCTATTATTGCAAATTTCATGATTCTCTAGATTGATGTGTGCTCTCATTAGACCCATTTGTTAATTAATTGATGGATTATGCTTTTGTCTTGGTGGGTTATTCTACACTTAGTTTACTTGTTGGTTAGGTAGAAAATTCAATCTTGCATTAGATAGTTCACACTTTTACATGCAAATTGTGTTTATGTTTGTGGCCACATCTTAATTGCAACAATGTATTCCCCATTAATGGAAAGCAAGTGGTTAATTACATGAGCTTAGTGGTAATTCCAACACCCTAAGACCTCTCTTCATATCTCTTAAATCCCTATCTCAACTTAGTTTTATTTTAATTGCATTTTCATTAATTGAAGTAGTTTAATCATCTCATCAAATCTCTTTGCAATCTTGTGACACATTAGAGTCGAAGTTAAATTCCAACACATATAATTCCTTGGGACGATCCCTACTCACTCTTGCTACGTTAATAGTAGTGGTGGTAGTGGTGTTTATAAATTTAAACTTGACCTAAAAGGCTTTTATTGAACCGCACATTCACTACATTATTTTGGCGTATACAAGTGGCCTCGTCAAATTATATAAAAAAGATCATAAAAAATTTCACCAAATAGGATTTAGTTTGCAAAACAAGAATTATAGACCTTGATTAGTTGATTTAGAAAAAAAATTAAAACAAAACCCATACATACAAGTTAGCAGTTGTAGTGAAAGAGAGGGGTGGGCAAGCTTGAGAGTTGAGAGACAGCGGTTGAAGCTTGTGAACAGCGAACCCGAACTGGAATAGCGGGCAATGGAAACTGAAAGATATAGGTTTTGATTTTTTAAACAATCTGAAATGGAAACTGAAAGATATGAGTTTTGATTTTTGGAACAATCTGGAATGGAAACTGAAAGATATGGGTTTTGATTTTTTGAACAATATGAAATGGAAACTGAAAGATATGGGTTTTAATTTTTTAAAAAATTTGAAATGATATGCTGACATGGGTTTTGATAGGTAATAGGTTTTTGGACTTTTTTTTCCTAGTTGGTTTTGAACTTTTGATTCTTGCAGATAGATAGATATATGGGTTTTGAACTTATGATTCTTGTATGGTTTTGTAGTTTGCAGTGACAGAGAGAGAGAGAGAGGGGGCAATATTAGAGTCGAGAACGAGAATAGAGATGGAGTATTGATAGAGGGCTATTTTAGTCTTTTCACATTTTATGTTATATTATTAGTTTTTTTAAATCATAGATAGAGGGCTATTTTAGTCTTTTTATAGCTCCGGTATCGGTCAATAACGGTCAATGCCCAAAATGCACTCATTCGCACCATTTTTAAAGCATAGGGGAGGTAAACAAACAATGGGGGGGGGGGGGTTATACGCACTATATTGATATTACAGGGGTGTAAAGCGCACACGACCCTTATATGTAATTGAAACTAAGAATGCTTGGAAATGCAGCTTCTGTCCTTAAGGCAGTCCACCTCTAACGCCGCCACCAGCTCCTCCACCAAATCCGCCACCAGCATCGCCACCAAGTCCCCCGCCACCACCACAGCCAAACCCTCCACCACCACCACTACCACCACCACCACCAAGTCTAGACCCTCCTCCAAACCGACCACCAGCTCCTCCTCCGAAACCAGTCCCACCACTTACTCCCCTACCACCGCCATCGCTTCCCCCAAACCCTCCACCACCACCTCCACCTCCACCTCCACCAAGTCCACCACCTGCTATTCCACCAGCACCAGCACCTCCACCAAAGCCTGTTGCACCACTAGAACCAACACCTCCACCCTCACCTACGAATCCACCACCGCCTCCACCACCTAATCCTCTGCAGTGAAACAATCCTTGTTCTTTTTCCAGAGAAGTCTTTGAGCTTACAAGCTTCCTACTGTAGGTGTTATAGACAAGAGAACCAAGAAGAAAAAGAAGAAGAAACTTGGAAGTCATTTTTACAAGTAGTGACATATATTAAAGATGACTTTAATATTGATGAGAAGTGAGGACTCGATGTGGGTTTATATAGACGCAAGGACCCATATGATTAAGTTTATCATTGAGAAGGTTTTAAATGTGTCCATCTTTTTATCTATAAACCACGTTGGGAAGTTAATGCAACCAAATGTAGGCAGGCTGCAGCTCATCAGAGTAGTCTTTTTTTCTACTCATATGTACTGGTCATCCAAGTTCATTCTGCCCATGAGTATCGTACATGACAAGCGCCGAATATTGCATATTCAAACGCCCTTATTTGCATTAGTTAAGTCAATTAGTTGATCATATTGTACATATTAGTTTCATTTGCGTGTTTTTGTTTACTTTCAAGTTGGTTCCCCAAAGATAGTTAAAAGTGCGGCTTTATTGAGTTTGTGAAGAATCAAAACACGCCATTGTTGGGAACCTTTATTTTTACCCAAGCCAGTGTCCCATTGAACTACTGGTTATCCCTGCAAAAAGCGCTAGCCGCGATCAGCGCGTCAATGGACCGAGCCAAAAGCAGCCTAGCAGCAGTGAAGTTTAACTTTGTTCGTCATTTTTGACCCACCACACTTGAGAATTGGACTCCTATTAAAATATGATGTACTTAGATCTTTAAGTTAGCTTTCTAAATCATCAAACGGTTCATCATTTGGAGTTCGGAGCTGAGAGTTATGGCCTTTTTACAAAAAGTAACATGAGAGTAGTGAAGTTCAACTCTTTTCTTCATTTTTGACCTACCACACTTGTGAATTGGACTCCTATTAAAACATGATGTACTTATATCTTTGAGTTACCTTTCTAAATCATCAAATGGTTCATCATTTGTTGTTTGGAGCAGAGAGTTATGGCCTTTTTACCAAAGGTGCGCAGAGTTGAGGACAACCTGCGGGCGCCCGCAAGAAAGCTACGGGTGCCCGCCAAAATGGGCAGCGGGCTCGTGAAGCCGTGGGCGCCTGCCAATTTTGGCAGTAGCTTCGTCACAGCGCGGGCAGCCGCCAATCTGCAGAGAGCTGCTCACCCACTCCATGATTTAGCTCATCTTGTCCCCTTTGACCCAATGGGTGGTTCTGCAATTTTCTAGGGGTGAGAAGCCATGAAATTAAGGGTAGTTGGGAGGCTATCTTGGTGGATATAAGGCATGTATGGTTGTAAGAAAAATATATCTCACAATTTGTAAGGTTCTAGAGAGAGAAAGAGGTGTTCTTGAGAGTTTTGGGTTGAAGCTTCGCTCTAGGTGCGAAAATCAAGGTTGGGCCATCACAACTTCTTCCTCCATTGCTTCTATAGGTAACTAACTCCATTTCTAGGAAGGTGATGAAGCCCTCCCTTGTAAACATGTCTTAGTTTTTGGTTTAATTTTGGGAAACATGTATATATATGGTATTTTTATGATCTAGAGCTTTGCACTTGATGTAATGGACTTAAATGCTTATAAATGATCATTTTGAGTTAATTATCTTGCCTTAGATTGTTTCCTCTTATGATTATATTGCTTCCATTTCATAGTGACAATGGAAATGAGATTGTGGAAGTGTTTTATTGGCATGTATTTGAGAGCCTTGTTAGTTCATGGCTTAGGGTCCCCCTTTTGATGGACTTTTCTTGATTCTTGGCTCCATGTGCTATCACCATAGTTATTCAGGGGTTTGATTGTCCTTAGCTTAGTGAAGATGTGAAGCTACACTCTAATTTAGGAAGTCAAGCATGTGGAACTTTGAGGGATTATGCTTAATTCTTGATTCTATGAAATTCTTGAAGATAGAGTAGTAATTTTGTGTTGCTACATATCATTGCCATATATCTAATTTATTTCCTAAGTTAACCAAAAACTAGCATGTTAATAGGGTAGGTCGTGGATTCACTTCCCTAGTCTCCTTTACATTATTTTTATCTCTTCAATTCCTTGCAAGTATTATTTTATGCAATCTCTAATTCCTAGTTTCTAAGTGACAAATCAAACACAACTCTTAAACCTACTCCTTCTCCTTCCTCCCTTGCATCCATGGGAACTAACTCCCTATCTAGGGAGGTGATGAGCCCTCTTTAGTAAGCATGTTCTAGTTTTGGTTTATTTTGGGGGAAATGATGTGTATATGTGGTTATTTCATAATCTAAAGTTTACACTTGATGTAATGAACCTAAATTCTTATAAATGATTATGTTGAATCTATTATCTTATCTTAGATCATATTTTCTCATGATTGTATGGCTTGCATTTTTATAATGACAGTGGAAATGAGATTGTGGAATGGTTTTAATGGCATGTTGTTTGAGAACCTTGTTAGTCCATCGCTTAGGGTCTCCCTTTTGATGGACTTTTCTTGATTCTTGGCTCCATGTGCTATCACCATAGTTATTGAGGGGTTTGATAGTCCCTAACTTAGTGAAGCTATGAAGCTACACTTTAATTTAGGAAGTCAAGCATGTAGAACTTTGAGGGATTATGCTTAATTCTTGATTCTATGAAGTTCTTGAAGATAGTGTAGAAATTTTGTGTTACTATATATCATTGTCATATATCTAATTTATTTCCTAAGTTAACCACAGACTAGCATGTTAATAGGGTAGGTAGTGGATTTACTTCCCTAGTCTCCTCTACATTATTTTTATCTCTTTAATTCCTGCAAGTATTGTTTTATGCAATCTCTAATTCCTAGTTTCTAAGTGACAAATTAAACAAAACTCTTATACCCCCTTTCATTAAACTAAAAGTGAATTTAAAGACCTTGGTTGCCATAAACTAGAAATCCCTGTCGTTCGATTTACCCGAACAATAGCCCTATTTTACAATGATTTGTGCAATTGCAAAATGGTTGATTATTATTGTGATAGTCGACGATCGATCAATTTTTGGCTCCATTGCTGGGGATTGCAAATAGTTCTGTGACCGAGGTTTTAAAGATTACCTTTTGTTTGATTGTGACTATTTTGTTTTGTGTATATTTTTTATTTTTGTGTTTTGTGTGTTTCTATGTGATCCTAGGAACTCAAAACTCGCTATGGAGAAACTGAAAATCTGAAATCTTAATTACTATAGGTAAGTGTTTGATGTTCTATTTTTACATTTATTTTTGTGTTGTATATATATATTGTGTGAATTTATCTTAATGTATCTAAACAAGTGGCTGAATTAATCCTTGATGGAGGGTAATTATCTTCCAACTCAATTTTACACACCACATGAGTTTTGTGCATTTTGCTCTAATCATACACATCATATAAGAGATTGTCCTCTACCGAGACAATTTTTAGATTTTTATCTAGAGCAACCAAATGCAAATTTCTTTGAATCGGGTAATGATCCATACTTCAATGGTTATGACTCGGGTTGGGGAGATCATCAAAACTTCTTATGGCATGACATGGGAAATTCAGTCCCATAATCTTATGGGCAACATTTTCATGCCAATTTTCAGCCCAATGATCATTATTTCTAGCCCTCTTCTCTTTTTCCACCATCTTAATTGGATAAGTTAATTGCTGCTAACAAAGGAATGATGGAGTCTATCAACAATCAAATGATGGATTCCAACAAGCAAATGTTGGATGACATTGTTAGCATGCAATCCACCACCTATTCTCATTCCTAATCTAGAGTTGAGCTAGATGACCAAATAGCCTAAATTCAACACAGAGTTAATGTTCTAAATCATGAAGAGGAGGAAAAATTTCTAATTGAACTTGTGGCCAATCCAAAAGAAAATTCTATGAATGATGAGATTACTCCTAATAACTTTCATCACGAGAATGATCAAATGGTTACCACATGTGAAAATGAAGAAATTATGGTTGAAGATCAAATTATTGCCACACAAAAAATTAAAGAATTTGTGGTTCAAAATGAGGAAAATAATGATGAAGAGATTGTCTCCCTTGATAATCCAAAACAACCCCTAAATAATCCTTTGGTTGATACACCTCCTTCAATGAAGGATCCTCTAAAAATTTGCTTAGCTCATTTCAATTATGAGGATTTTGATGTTGACAATTCTATTTGGGAGGTGAATTCTTTGCTTGATATTCCTCCATTCATTCACTCTCCTTATTGGGAAGCATCAAATGTATCTCTCTCTTGGGGGCTTGCACCTCCTCCCATTCCTTCACTTGAGTTATCTCAAGATGTTGAGCCCGAACCACCTGATAAGTGTGAAGAGGATGTTGAAAGTTTGAAGGATATTTTTTCAGAAATTCTCGCGCTAAATATGACCCGTCACAAGTCTTTGCTTGATGTACCCTCACTTGATCCACCTTCCTATAATCCAAAATAGCCCCATAGTTCAAAGTTCTTCATTGAGGATGAAGAGTGGGTTGAGGTCTTTCCTTTATCTCTTTTCATTTTGTTTTTCTTCAAGCTCTTTTTCCTCCACTTCTATAGGAACTTTCTTATTTGGGGAAGTATAACTCTCTAGAGAGACTTGGTGTAGGGTAAACCCTACTATGAGATTCGTAGTTAGATTTTAATTTTTAGATGTTTTGATTTTATTAGACAATTTTAGATTTGATTTCATGAACTTGTGGATATGCTTAGTTTAGTTTTCTTTGCACATTTTCATTTTGTTTTTGTGTGCCTATACTTTTATACTTGTGTGATTTAGTGTTGTTTTCATATGTTTTTATGTTCAAGTTTGGGGGAAGATCATTTTGGCATCTTTTCCTGGGATTGCATGCGGCTACAATGCCAAAGTTGCCTCACTCACTTGGTATTATTGTTCCTTTTGCCCCCTATGCTATTTATTTATACACCTTTGTCTTCACACATTGAGGACAATGTGCCATTCAAGTTTGTGGGTATTGTATATTGTATAGTGTTCGCTTTTGCTATTTTGTTCGCATTTGCTATTTTGTTCAAATGTATTGGTATAAAACTGAAAAAAAAAATGGAAGCAATGGTTTTGTAGTCTTGGAACTTATTGGAGATTGAAGCATGTGTTGAATACTCTGTGTATAGAGGTAAATGATAGTTTTAAAAT